CAGTAGAAGAGTGGACATGAAACTACATTTAGTTAACCTGTGGTTTTCCAAAATGTGTACGTGCACATGCACAGTGTACTTTACTGTCTTTTTTCCTATGTCTCTAATTAACTAGTCTGTATTCAGCATCGTTAAGCTTTGTCATTACATGGAGCACAGCAGCAGCAAGTGCCCCTGCAGGCCATAGAGAGACTCGGGGGCTTGGATCCAGGGGCTGAGATCCATGAGTAGTGTCTCAGCTCTTCCATCAACTGGCTCCTGGTCAACTTCCATTCAAGTGCTTCATGCTCAGGCATTATGGTAGTCTGTGATCTCATAGTTGCATACTATTAGATCTGCAGGACTCCTGCCTTTTTCACTGCTCACCAAAGAATATATATTTAATATACCATGCAGACATTCTAAATGTAAATGTTTTAACTTAACTTAAATGTTTCAACTTATCCTGTTTCCCGACATTGGATGAGATGGAGCCTGTAGAAGAAATATCGTTTCATCACATAAAACTGCATGCTCTGTGTGTGTGTGTGTGCACGCACATGCCCACATGTGTGTAAGGGAAACGGAAGCAATGCATTTTATCTGTATTTTATCTATTTTATTATGTTAGCTCCTTTGGGTAGAAGGAGTAAGTTCAGTTATTTTTGTTCAGCTGGGTTTTTTGAGGAGGGAAGAGACTGGCTGGATTTAGGGGAAGTTGTGTTGCTGTAGATTTCCTTAATCAAAGTATCTTTACAAATAATTTAATATCTTGCCAGATATCTCAATCACAGTCCACTGGAATAGAATGAGAAATGCCGGTAAAATCCAATTTTTCTAACGTTCAACATACATGCTTAGCAAAGGCCACAGAATATGTCTTTTTGGAAGAAATTTTCAGTTGGCATCTTTTCCCAAACAAAGGAGAAGGACTGAAGTGCCAGCTGGGGTTAATAGCAGACTTAGCCTGATACTCACTGTGGGTTTACTGCTTTTTTTTCCTTTCTTTTTTTCTGAAGTGATAAGTATGTATTTATACCAGTAAAAAGGTCATATAGCCACAAAAATCTTCACTTGAGTATAATCACTTTTTGCAAGCTTAAAATAAACCTTCACCTTCAAGCACAGTTAGCAAACATCTTAAATTCCAGTGTTCAGTTTATAAGGAAGTCATGAATGAGAAATTGTGTAATTATAGAAACTTCTTTGCAATTGTGGTTAAAGCAAACATGTTATAAAATATATCTTTAAAATAAAAACTTCAGCAATACAGGGAAAACTGAACTCAATGTTTTTAAGACCGTACAACTGAACATAAAAATGCTTCAACAGCTCACTGATACTTTTCTGCTGACGTTAAAACTTCCATCTCAAAAAAAGAAAACAGAAGAATAAAAATTACTTTCGCTTTAAACAACCATTATGAAAATTATTTTTGTTTCTTTTCCTGGTTGACTTTGTCAAAGCCATAGCCTTGTGTGGAAGTCTTGTAATAAGAGAAAAAGCAATCCCTATGTTCTCAGTCATATATTCATGGAAGAATATGATGTATGTAAACACCTTCCTTAGATCTGAGAAAGCAAGTGACTGGAAGACCAGAGAAACAAGTTCCTTTTTCAAACTGGGAATAATTCTTAAAAATAGTGCCGGGGGTGTGCCTGGCTTTCTACTGTAAGAGTAAAGCAAAAGGGAAATACAGAAAAGCAGGGAGAAACCATCATAAATGTGAATATTTTAAAGTCTTGTGGACACTGTAGGTTTTTGTATGGCTGTAAAAATAAATTGCCCTCATTAAACCAAGAAACACTCAACATACAGAAGAATTGGTTAGTTGCAAAGAGGCAGTGTCTCTTCACAAGGCTGCACAGTCACACTGAGTCTTTGGGCCACAACCCTATTCTTCTCAAGTCATCAAACTGCCTCGGGCTGCCAGGGATTTGCCTGCTGCGACATTATGGTTTTATTTCTCTTGACACAAAATACTTCATTATTTCCTGTCTGTGCTGGAGTTATGTCTTTCCATATTTAACCCAAAGCAGCAAAAGCAACCAACTCACTGCATCCTTGGCTGATAAAATACAGATTGCCTGTAAGACAGACATTTAAATTCACTGCATATACATGGTATGTGTTACTCTAAATGTTATTGTAAAGTTGAGTATTTGTAATCGTACCGTATATTGTCAATGCTGTGAAAAATCTGACCTGAATGTGGTGGGCATTTCATCCTGTGAACACGCTTCTGACTAGCATTCCTCACATTCTCTAGGTGGTGCAGAACTGTTAGCAGCTGTGGTCTTATAACTGATGTTTTTATAAAATAAAAAAAAGTTGGTGTCATTTTTTTTTGCTTTGGCGTGTGAGGAAGGCCTAAAAGTACACAGATACTTATTTTCCTTTTTACTTCTCAGAAGGATTATGTGTCAATGGCAAAAAAACATTTTCAGTTGAACTAAAAATTCCTCTCTGCAGCCTCCAGGTGTTTATTTTTCAGTCTTAGTGATTTCATTTCATCTTTCTTAACCTCTCTAGTTCCCTCTAGCTTCCTCCAGATCCAAAATAGTCTAAAATGTCAAATGTTTAAAAAAAAAAAGAAAGGAAAAAGCAACAGTTTCCTTCCTGAGGGGAAGAAAGGACCCGAGCCTCATTTATTGCAGTTTGCCTCTTGCAGTTTGCCGTGGTTTTTCAGTGAAACAAGGCTGCCAGCACCCAAGTTGCTTGTGCTGGCACTTCTACCTGGAGCTGCCAAAGGTTATGCTGGTCTAGTGAGATACAGAGAGAGAGATGGAGGCGTAGCAGAAGGTATTTGTCCTGCTGAGAATCTAACCCCTCAACTAAAAGATTATGCGAATAGGACGCTTGTTACGCACAGCGTGTGATTAAATCTGCAGACGCTTATTTTAAGAATGGCATTAATACGTTTGACTTTACATCATGGTACCGACAATACAATGAAAGCCATGCTGCAAATGTGCTGAAATCATAACAAATTTGCCGTTTGATAGGATTTTTGGACTCAGCTCACAGTGCGGTGTGGGAAGATGAGGAGAGGTGCTGTGGGAAGGTACACAGTGTCAGGTCGCCTAGACTTCTTGACCTTTCTAGGAAAACACAACCGCTAGCAGTCATTTATTTACTAAGTTGATTTAGATCGCTTGGCTTTTCTGTTGAGAACAGCACCAAATAGGCTAGCTGTGGCAAGTTTCCCCCTGCCAACATCCATCCACTGGGACATATTAATTTGCATCATGGAGGACACTGAATGACATTTTAACTAAGCAGGCATAGTTTTGAACTGCAGGCTGTGTGTCCTAGCAGCGAGCTCACAAACTTGCTTTATATTCTCACTAAAACTGTATCCGTTTGGATTTTACCATTTTCTTTTTCCTGTGGAATGCATTTCTTCTCTGGTGCCCTGTCAAAAAGAACTACTGTATTTATTTTTCACAAAAGCTTTAAAAATGAACTCTTCCGTGTTTTTCAAGGGATTTACTTTGCACAAGGTGCTAAAGGCAAAGTTTAAAACAGCCAGCCTTTTATGATACCACATTATGGATGCATGTAGGAATAGTTAGAAGCCTACCTACATTATCACCACAAACTGATGTCAAGTCTAGTCAAAAACCAGAAATGACTCATCCCGGCTGCATTTGAGACTTCATCTTGTTCCTTAAAAATCTGTCCCAACTTCCTCTCTCTGAGAATTGCACAGCTTATTTTATTTTCAATAAAATACTAACTAGGTAAGTGAAGTAGGTCTCTCTCATTCGTGGTATGTTGCATACATGTATCCTGGATAAAATCCAGGTGAAAACCAAGCTGTGTGCGTTTTTATGTCCAAGCTGTATGAAGCAACATATTTTCCTTTTAGATGACTGAAAACTCGTTACAATGATGTCTAAAGGTCAAAGATCTGCAGTACCTGCAGCAGATGTTTGTGCAATTTGATTGAACTGAATTAAAATTATTCAAATTATTTAATTTGCTAAAATGTGGGATTGATATTCTTTTCATTAATCCACTGTAAGTACTCCGTATAAACCTGAAAGCTTTTGTAATAATGAATTTTATGCCAATTCCAGAAAGGTGCTCAGTAAGTCTTCGTAACAGTCTCTGCCTCTTACCGGATGACAGAAAAGATTTATAAGACCATTTTATAAATTAAGGTGATTCCCACTGATGGCCTTACTCAATTTTACTTACATGATTCTGCCCTGCTGATGCAAAACAAGTATGGAAGCTGCTCTGAAAACCAGTCACACAGAGGAAAGCATTACCTTATGAGTAACTGTCGTCTTTGTGGTCGGTGTTGGCTTAATGAGTCATGCATTTAGTACGAATGCAACATACAATGAGTTAAAGCCTATTTTTCTAAAAATGAGTGATGATGAATCTTTCAGATATCTTTTCAGCCACAAACATTTTTATTTTACTAAATCTTGCATTTGAATCTCAGTAAGGAATCACTTAGCTGTAAAGAATCCAAATTGCAGCCTAGAAGTATGTACAAACCAAGATTCCCACCTGACAAACCATTATGTTCACTCTCATTATTCAGCTTCTGTAACTATCGCATTTTTAAATGTAAAAGATCGCTGCGTTTCATAGTCACACGCTGCTTGCTATCTTCAAAACTAAGACTTCCTATGGCCACTTCTTCAATTTTCCTTGAGTATTGTGAGTCAGAGTTTCATTCTCTTATTTTATGGTAGAGGGATGGGAAGTATGGAGAGTTTTATCTTCTACTTAGAAAGATTGGTGTTGGAGACAAGAGAGTTTGATCCACATTTTTTCCCCACGTATAATGTGATGGATTGGGTTCAGGAAATGAAATTGTATAAAACAGTCTAGTAACCTCTGGTTTTCTTGTTTTCATGTCTCTCTTTTTCAGATCAATAACAAAGCTTGTGGCAAAGTTTTTGTGCCACAGCAAGCAGCCCGCAATTTTGAAGAAGTCCACAAACTAGTTCTTCAAAGTGAACTTGGAGTCAAGCATCTCCAGGGACGAACCATTAAGAAGGCCTTTCTGTCTCCCAGAACTGCCCTTATCAACTTCTTGGTGCAAGAATAGCAAAGGCTCTGCTGGGCTGTAAAAGGGAACTGGAATCTTTTGAGACGAAACCAATTCAAAAATACCAGTTATGGTTATTTAAATCTCATGTAACGGAAGAAATGTTATTAAAATCAGGTTGCTGCTAAATCTTCATTTCAGCTTGGAAAAATGTGGAGAATTAAAGTTTCTTATCGGGTCACAGTGAGATGCTGTTTGTCCCTATTCTCTGGGAGAATGAGAAGGAAGTGCAGAAGGACTAAATGATTGTAACAGAATGTAAGTGATGTAAAGTGCAGGGGGTTTAGTGTCAGCCTTGGGAATATATCCTATTGGAAAGTTGGCTTGGCTAAATGCAGAGGCATAAATATGATTCCAGGACTAAACAACTGCCCTGAGCATGTGCTACACCAAATTTTAGGTGTGCTACGGTCAGCTTTGCTGCCTGTATCTCATGTTTGGGGACCCTACCGTTAGCCAACATTTTAAGTTGTAAGAAAATGTTACTAGGCAGTGTTAATTTAAAAAATTATTTGGTTAGCGCTGGTCAGTGGCACAGCAGGTAGCCAGAACTGGGGTGGTTTGATACATTTCACATAGGTTTCAGAGCCAAGCCAAGAAAAAGGTCAGATTATTTAGCCAAGCCCTGCCTTAGCCAGAATTCTCCTTCCTCGCTGGCATATTTCTGTTGGCTCGTACATGAGAGATTCAGCTTCAGCGAAGTGCCGGCCGTTGTTTCTGCACAGAACAGAATGGCAGTTAACTTCCTACGCATGAGCCATCTCAGAGACTTTTGGGGGGATTCGAGAAAGGGATGAGTCGGCTGCTAGAAATGCAGCAGTGGTGAATGCAGACAGCATGCTTTTTGCCTCTGCTGCTAGTTCTTGTGGTGCCTAGATCGTAAAATTTGAATCAAAATTCTTTTTTTTTTCTGAGGGCTTCATTAAGTGGAAATAGCCATCATGTTTCTAAAAGTCAATCAGATGTTCATAAAACACAAAGCCATTCTCATGCCTCATTTCAACCATTTTATTTGTACACTCCATTGCTGTTATATCCACATGGAAACGTTTATTGTATTTAGCAAATGCTTGGAAAAGGGTTTCCAAAGAGACAATTACAGGGTTCATTGTGTAAGAATGTCTTTTCTTTAACAGCCATTAAACTAAGTAGTCCAATAAGCCAGCCATTTGTGAGACATTCTGACAATTAAGAAGTCAGCAGTAAGAACCAGCTAGCCAAATACAGAGGTCCCTATTAACCCTCCAGCCCAGGAGTCGTCTGGACTGTGTATTAGATTAAAAGGAAACCAACAAAAATCTCCCACGTAACAGTAAATAAGGCCAATAGATGCTAAGCAACTACGGTCAAGATAGATCGCATTGCAGTGAGAGTACTAGCTAAGCAATACCAATATTCATTTTGGTTTTGTGCATTTTTGGTACTGAAGGTCTAGCTGCATAACAGAGATTCCAGGCTCAGCGAGCAGATTCAGTCTTACACATCCCTACTTCTGCGACAAAACTCTTCTGATTTCTGCCTCCTCCTGGACCACACTCATGCAGATTTTCTCTCCAGCAGTCCTTTGACACAAGAATGACTAAGAAATGGAATATTTATAATGGAGATATGGTCTTTGCAGTTTTAAGACTCCAAAAATCTCAGCCACAAAGGAATGCATTCAGACATTCAAACACAGGCCTTTAGTTGGAGTTAAAATAATTTGAATTCCAGTGTCTGCCTGACATATATGTTGTTACAAATTCATAAAACTCCTGTTCAGAAGCCCCTAAAAGGACTGTGAAAGAGATCCTTTAAAGTAAAATCTGTAGCACAGCACAGTCCTGCTTTTTTTCTGTATAAAAGTTTCACACACCCTGTGGAACAATTTTAACAGAGTTTCTTTTGGGGGGAAGGTGACATGTTTGGTGTAAATAAAAACTTTTAAAATTTACAAGGATGAAGAAAGATGTTGTAAGCCCAGCAGCCCTACGGTGCCTTTAAACAAAAACTGCAGTCACTCCAGGGCTGAGCAGCAACCCACAGCGTTTATTGCTGTTAGCACTGGCGGGTATTTGCTCTTGCCAGAGGAAGTGAATTGTAGATGTCATTTGGTGATTCAGGCAAAAATCAAAATAAGGAACGGACTTCTACACGCTAAAAAAAAAAAAGAACAGTAATGAACAGCAATTGCACAAAAAGTGTATGGGCGCAAGTCATGCTGGCGTGTTTACAGTAAGCTGAAATTCAGAGGAAAGGCAGTGAAAAAGCGAGTGAGAGAGATGATGCAGTCAGTCAGACAGAGCCTAATCCCCTGGTAAGTGTGCGTTTGAAAGATGGCAGAGGTGCCAGCTGTGTAGTTGTGCAGTTGTCCTGACAGCTGCTGACATGTCTCATAAGGTTGACCTGCTCTGAAGCACGATTGCCATTTGTCTTACCATAATTGTGACTCACAAATTTGGTCTGTGCCTAGATAGGACCGATACTGATATGCAGGCTATAGCCTGTTACCAAGCCTTTTTAAAATAACTTATCATCGCAGATGCCTCTCATTTATCTAACAGTTGTTACTTGTGTCATGGTACAGATGCATCTTTATGCTGAAGGTGGTCTAAAGCATCGGAGATTGTGTGCCCTTGAAGAGTTCAGTGGCTAAGTAGTATGGGAGTTTTAAATCTGGGCAGGGATGATACTTGAGGAGTGAGAATGAAAGGCGCTGATGGGCAATCAATCAAACTGCACTGCGTTTGTCACACACATGAAAATGGATATGGTGCCACTGTCCTTATTCCACGAAGTGATGAGCCGAGGAAGGTGCGGGAGATTTGCTAAACCCAGTGGGATAGACCCAGGACAAACTACTCCAAGAAACAGATCCATGACACTGAAGGGGCATTCCCTGCATCCTGTCACTCGCAGCGATAGAAGACTGCTCACGGCACTGATCCAGTCTGTATCGAGTTTCTATTTAAATAACATTTTAAAAGGAATTATTGGTATACTTCCTACCCCAAAATCGTTCGTGTAACTGAATTTCCAACATGTCCAGCCTTCAAACACCAATCCCGGAAAAATAAAAATTGGCAAAGTCCTGAAAGGTCTCTAAGTACTTTTCTGATGCTGTTGATTTCATGCGAGGGATCTCCGATGCTGGGGAGTTGGGGCCAGTGTAACGTGCTGCAAGAAACCACAGTGTAGAAAAATGTGTTGCTAGGCGTGGGTGTTCCGTAGCCGTCTCCAGTGACTGAGATGACATGGACACACCAATGCTGCTTTGCAGCAAGGCAATAGGGCTTTTTACATCACATTAAGGAACAACATTACAGCTCAGGTCACTAGCTAAGGCAGTTCTCTAGCCCGGTTGTCCCACCTATGCTTCAAACAAAAGCCTACACAACAGCATTGCTGAACAAGCCTGTATTTTTCCATGCCCTTCACCACAATCCAAAAACGGAGATTTGGTAGAAAATAAAATCTGTGCTCTCTCTCTCTCTGCGATTTACTGGATTAAAGTAATGCCTCAGAACTGACATCTGGTTAATGATGGCTTTTTCTGATCTGACTTTGTAAAAGCCTGCTTGTTCTTGTGGAGGGAGAAATTCCACAGATAATGCAGGTCATACAGCCTTTCTTCTTTGTCCCTCCTTCTTCAGTGTAAAGCCTCAAAGAAAGCTATTCCTCTTCTCTAATCTTTTTACAATCAACGTGAACTAGAAAGAATGTTAATTAGTACTCTGCTGGTCGTTCCTTCCTAGGGAAGTTTGCAGTATATAAGATCTTTCTAAAAGCTTGGCTATAAATGAGGACAGGGGGTGAAATCACTGGGTTTTTTTCTAGTTTTGCAATGCTTATTGCAGTTTACAGAGAGGGGATTGGCTTTATTTACATGTATTTACCGACTTGGAACAGTACATACACTGGTTGTGCGGGGTGCTTTTTCTGCTACTTTATTTCTTCAGTTCCCTCCTGTTAGGATCTGAGCTAATTTTGTATCAAGGGACTGTGCTGTAAGAGGACTCTTGCATGTGAAGCCAGGTCTATCACCAAAACCCAAGTGGTGAATATACTTATTAGCCCACCGATTTCTATCAGTCTGGGTAACATCCACTTTTGACTTTAAAAAAATGTTGCTGGAACTACATCCATGTTTGGGTTTTTTTTTAATGGAAATGGGGTTTATGTCTCAAAGAAGCAGCACGAAGCTGATCACAGCAGATGAGAGGCAGTTTTTAGCATGTCCCAGTCATAGCAAGAGAAGATCTGGAGTATTATCTCTGCGCAGGAGGGAACAGGATCAGAGCTCTCATCTGCAGCCCAGATGATAAAAGAGATCTTGCCTGACACGCGGAGGAAAGGTGGGATTTTTTTTTTCCCTTTCCTGATTAAAGTGACTTTCCGGTACCACAAAGAATTCTGCAATTCACTAACCCCGTCCGTCCCCGGAGGCCCCATGTTACACATGACCTTTGTGTCTTGCGGCACTTCTCTCACTCAAGTAAGCCTTGGGTTGGGTAAGCTCATGTCTGTTTTTAGCCCTGGAGAGTAGCCAGCATCATCTTCCATTTAAATTAGCTTTAGTTTTACGTGTAGTCAGAGAGTTTGAACAGTTTTTCCTGGGTTTGTAAGTTGTTGGGGGTCTCTGAATGGGAGTATTTTTGCCTGGGTGTAGCAACGCGGCAGAGAGGAGTCCTGGTGGCTCTTGTTCTATCTGCCAGCCTTTATGCTGGCAGTGAGAGCCTGGAAACTCAGTCACGGTCAAGCAGATGCTTGTATTTGTTGTCAGGTGAACACGGCCCAAACCCGTGAGAGATTTTGATCACAGGAATCTCATCAAAAATACCCCGTGATATTGAACGCCCAGGACATTTCCTTGGATGCTCATCTGCCTGGGCCAGGCCAATTTGCTCTTCGTTTTAGGCTGCCGAACTGCTCACTCAGCAAAGGAACATGTAAATGGGCAGGCTTTAAGTATAACGAGCTAAATACCCATATTCTTTCTGCTTGCACTTGCGACACTGAGCCTGGGACATTGGGGCCGTAAGAAGTTCTTTTATTTGAAGAGCCTGATCTTCTTCAGTGTAACTGTAAGGAGAACGTATGCATTTACATGAACAGAAATGCGTTCCTTTGCGCTTGCTCTCTTAAGATACAAGCACGCTCTCTGGGCTGGTTGCAAGGGGACGGCCCGCAGTCACATCTT